ATTACTGTAATGCACTAGTCTCATTCCTAACAGCATTCAAAAAGCAGCAGCAGTTTGTGACCGGTCATATGAACACACTGGGGGATTTTTGCATTCCAGTACGCGACTAGTGGTTCTTTATCTTCCTAAAGTCTGACTTCCTTTTATTTGTTAGAAATGAGGTCACGGCTTGTTTCCCTCACGAACGTTTGCTGCTTTCTCCCAGGTGTGATCCGAACAAAAACCCAGGGCTCTGAATTAACAGAATTGCATCACTCTTTTGGTTACACTTGTGAAGGGTGGAGATCGCACAATTTAGTGCAACAATGTAACTGTGAATTCCAGGAGGTGCTTTAATCTAAAAGGCCCCCTACTGGACAGATACCAACGTTTTTGTCAGAAACGCCAGAAGCAATTTTTTCAAAATAAAAATTAAACAGGTTAGATGCCCTTACAGTAAAAAAAAAAATATATATATAGGGATTGGCAAAGCCACAATATTCCATTGAATATCAAAGCCTAAAATTCTAAAAATCCAACAGTGCAAGAAAGCTGCATTTAAAAGAGGTGCACCATGTTTATGAGCTTCTTTGTATCAATTGCATTCATTTCTGATTAACTTCTAACATACAGTATGCAGTGTTTAAATGTTTTACAAAACATACAAGTTATTTAAAAAAATATATACACACACGTGTGTGTGTGTGTGTAAAATACAAAATTAATATTTTATACTAGTAAATTGTATTTATATTTGTACCTGTATATAAATAAATGAAATAAAAATACATATATACTGTATAACATAAATACAAATATATTTTGTACATATATATTGTATTTACTGTATGTGTGTGTATTATACACACAGTAAGTACAATATATATTTACAAAATATATATTTACAATTTTTGTATTTATAATATAAACAAAAATAAAAAAGCAGTGTTTAAATGTTTTACAAAACAGAGTTATTTTTTAAATAATGTATATATATATATATATATATAAAATATGTTTTGAACTTCTATATTGTACTTATATTTTGTATACAGTATATACAATATTTTGTGTTTTGATGTCCTTTGGGTGAGGGAGGGTTTACATGTCTTGCATCAGATCTTGAGACTGTTACTCGATCATAAACAATCCCGGCTGCACTCTCAGTGCAAAATACTGAGTTTATTGAATGTTGACATCCAGAAAGTTTGCATATTTAGAGAAACTTTCTAAAGCTTAACATACATAGTTGAAAAATTACAAGGGAATTAATTACTTTGACGCTTGGAAGTATCAAAAGAAATTCCTCGTGGTACAGTGCACACACCTGACAATTAAACAGTTCAAGGAAAATCCATAACTGCTGTAACCGCAGAGCCTTTAGAGAAAGAAATGCCTCAGAATAAGAACCCTCCCATGTACGTCAGCAGTGACTCCACACAGATGTTTCCAAAGAACCCCTCCCATCCATTCAAAAGGCACTGTTTCAGAAATTACAGATCATACCTTTACCGTGTGTCAAGTGTTACAGTATATAGTCACACACCCTGAGCTACATTACTAGAATGTTGATATATAGAGGGAAAACAATGTGCTATACTATGCCTAGCTGTCCAGTCACCAACTGTGAATCATTGCTTCTTATATGTTAGTTAGTTTACATGAGTACTTTTTATACAAGAATGAAACATGCAGCAATGCACAACTTAAATTAAAATCCCCAAATATTGTATTATTGTGTAAACAAGTATTACGTGATTGTCTTACCATAAGAAATAAATGTTATACCACTGTAATATTGCAATAATTCTAAATATACATAGAGAATGTCCACAGGTACAAAAGTTTAAGCATTGACTCTACTTGTTATAATAATAAAAAAAAATACAAGAGAGAGAGAGTCAATACAATTTTATAGATCTAGTTTTATGGTTATAGTTTCTATGATTTCTGCCACTATGACAGTGTTTATGAGGTGATATATAATTGGGAAAGTCTCCAGGCATAACAGTTTAAATGTTAAAGAATGGTCATAAATATCATTTTAAAATTTTACAAAAAGTGTGGTATCATTCTTACAATTGTGAAGAGCACTCATTTGTTTACTGTTACTTGAAAGAGGCACAAAATTATTTTTTAACCACCAAAAAAATAAAAATAAAAATAAATATAGAAATAAAAATATTGCACAGACCAAGCAATGGCCTTGAATTTGGTGGGAAGAAATTTATAATATGGAGAAAGACATTTGTGAAGAGCACAATACTGTCTACTGTCACTCATAAGAGGCATAAAATTATTTTTAAACTTTCAATATATGATACGAAATTAAATAATTAAATAATAAATTACCTCAAATAAATAAATAAGTAAATAAATAAATATTGCACGGACAAAGTAATGGTCTTGAATTTGATAAAGAAAATCAATAATTTGGACAGAGTGCTCTCCAAAAAATCAATAAATAAAATGCATTAATTAAAAATCATCTTACAATGTTGTGTGCTGTGAGATGTGTTTGCTTGATAACTTTGGCCCAAAAGTGCAAAAGCTACAGAAGCTGTTTAAGAGGCCTGTGCTTGTTTTTTACTCAAACTGTGACGTAACACACAAATCACAAACATCACAGATGATTTGACAAACAAATGAGCCTTTAGAGATTGTCATCAGAAGCATCTTGCATCACATCTGTATGATAATAGGAGGACAAAACAAACCGATGCTTGTTTTGTACAGTCCAGACCAAAACAAATTATCCTTTTATTCTTTTCCATTTCACTCCACTTCACTTCTACTACTACGGTTGTAAAAAACGGGAGTCGGAGAGGTTGAGACAAGGACAGAAAAGCCATTAAAGCAATATACGGCACACAGCCGTAGGGATTAAAGGAGAAAAGGCATACGAGGAAAATAGAGTATCGACCAGACTCGGGTCAAATACCTTTAGGAGTAAGTAAATCACAGGTTCGGCTAAAACCTTGTCTCATTTCCTTTGTGAACTGGATGAGAGAGAGAACAATTCATCTGATACCGTCTGCTGGTGCAATGCAAAGTCTGTCTCATTAAAGTGACAGTCTCGTCAGATGCTAAGCGAAGCACGGAGACACACTCTTCTTCCTTCGCTGTCACTCAACAAAATAATTCAAAGAAATGTTTGTGGGTCTGGCTCCAGTACCCACACAATCCTTCCTAAACACCCCTGTCCTAGTGTTTAAAAGACGCTTTATCCGAAGGGATTTACAGAGGTCCAATTGCAAAAACAGTCAGTTCCCCTTGAAGAACTCCGATTTAAGTGCTACGGTCAAGGGCACAATAATGACAGAGCACAAACCTGATTTAAGTCACTCTCTAGCATTTGGACAGCAGTCTATCTGGCCTTTACGTTAACAATTCCACATTTTCATCTCTACTGCGTCACTTGTGGACGCGCATTCATGACAGTATCATGACGCGAGTATGTGGCCATCTGGGTCAGCACCGCCGCCGCCACACGCTCGCGTCATGATACTGTCGTGAACGTGCGTCCACAAGTGACACAGTAGAGTACTTTGTCGATCATCTTGGTACTTTTCTGGACCTTGAACGTGGTAGTTACCTTGCTGTCTATGGGAGGGTCAGAGAGCCCCCAGATTTCATCAAAAATATCTTAAATTGTGTTCCGAAGATGAACGAAGGTCTTACGGGTTTGGAACAAAGTAATTAATGTAATTAATTACAGAATTTTCATTTTTGGGTGAACTAACCCTTTAAAGGAACATTACAGGTTCAGTACAAGTTTAGCTCAATTGACAAAATTCACTAGTAAAATTGATCCCCATTTGTCCCTCTTTTTCTTTAAAACAAGGAAGGCTTGGCTTATAGTGAGGCATTTACAATGGAAGTGAATGGGCCTAAACATTTAAAGCAAACATTTGAATTCACAATGAAACAAAAGTATTGGATTATCAAAAACTAAAAAAAATATAGGGTGAAACTTTGTTCTATGAATTTGTTGTTGATTGATTTAACTGAGGTCTAGTTATGACATTTTGATTAAACATTACAAGGTGAAAATTTCAATGGATTTTTAAATTGAAATTTCCAATTGACTGTTGATTTTAAATTCTCACTGCTTTAAAAGTAAAGTCACATGATATGCATGTTTACATGATTTTAGTATAATAAACTGTTGCTATCACAAAGAAACACCAAACAATCCTGTAAAATGACTATTTAAACAACTTTACAGCTCAAATAATACGCACGTTTTAACAGAATAATTTTTAAAAATGCTTCACGTTTTTTGCTTTTAAATCCTCCTTCCATTGTAAATGCCTCAACATAACCTAAAGGACAAGTCAATATGAACTTATTATTTGTGCTATTCAGAAGGTTTGATTAATGCACAAGCACATACTATTTCCTGACATCACTGCTTTCTATTGTCTGAAAGCACCACACTCAATGACTGTGCAACATAATTTTTGTTTCCTTATACACTAACATTCAAAAGTTTGGGGTGAGTAAGGTTTTTTTTTTTAGAAAGAAATTAATATATTTATTCAACAAGGATGCATTAAATTGATTAAAAGTGACAGTAAATATGTTTATAATGTCACAAAAGATCAAATAAAAGCTGTTCTTTTGAACTTTCTATTCATCAAAGAATCCTGTAAAATGTACAGTATCATGGTTTCCACAAAACTAATGAGCAGCACAATTGTTTTCACCATTTATATTAATAATAATAAATATTTCTTGCAAATCAGCATATTAGAATGATTTCTGAAGGATCATGTGACACTGAAGACTGGAGTAATGATGCTGAAAATTCTGCTTTGCATCACAGGAATAAATTACAATTTAAAATATATTAAAATAGAAACAGTTATTTTAAATTGTAATCATATTTCACAATATTACTGTTTTTACTGTCAAATAAATACAGCCTTGGTGAGTGATTTCTTTCAAAAACTTGCAAAAAAAATCTCACTGACCCCAAACCTTTGAATGGTAGAGTAGTTGGAGCAGAAAGTGGATTACAAAAAAAATATTGTGCTTTTATAACTGAGATAAGAGTTATCAAAAGTGAACAATTAGGAAGTCAGGGTCAGGAACCTGAAAGTGGAGGTAAAAACTCATCGACTTCAAAATAAAGTACATAAACTACAGACACATCTTTACATTGCCTTCTTGAGATTCCACCATCCCGGACTCATTTGTACAGCAGGGGCAGACGGCTGTTGTGGCAGTTGTTTCGGCTCAGTTTGCCCTCGCCCTGGTACAGGTTGGAAGAATTGGAGAAGGACGGAGGCAGGGACTGTTTGTCTGTTGCGGGGCAGTAGTTGGGGGGTTCAGCCTGAGACGACGGGACGCTGTGGTTCTGGTTCTGATTCTGGACAGACGGGCGTCTGCGAGAGCGCAAGGCCTGGCGTTCTGCAAGCTGACTCCGCAGCTCCGTCACTCTTTCTTCCTTCTGCACAAGAAAAATAGCAGATATATAAATATAAATACTGTTTAACTTCTCCATTTTTGTTCCACGGCCTGGCGTTCTGCAAGCTGACTCCGCAGCTCCGTCACTCTTTCTTCCTTCTGCACAAGAAAAAAAACAGTATTTATATTTATATATCTGCTAAACTTCTCCATTTTTGTTTCACATAAGAAAGTAAGTCACACTGTATTGGACCACATGAGGCTGAGTAAATGATTTTCCATTTTTGGGTGAACTATTCTTTCGACATTTCCTTTAGCATGTCTATTTCCTCATATATAAAGCATATTCTGGCCTTAATGAATGAACAAATCAGAAGGTCAAAGACAAGGACGAGTAGGATATCATTTCAATAATTCATTCTATCCTTCTGGGATCCCATTCCATGTGTTCATCTATTAATTTATTATGGTGTTAATTAAGCCGCAAGCTGTGTGCACATGAGGAGAAGAGGAAAATGCCTCTTGAATGATCTTCTGGAGTTCCCTGTTCTCGCGCTCCAGCTGTCTTGACTTCTCCTCATCGTTGTTGTTGGTGGACGAGCCGGTTTTCAGCGTGTCCTGCTGCTCCGACTGCCACTCGCCACGAGTGATCAAACGCCGTATCTGCAGAAACGACCGTTAAAATCTATGAGACGCCGCAGGGAGCGTTCGCTGAATTTATGAAATGTCAGTGAAATCAATAGTTCATATGGGTGATGCTGTGCAGGAGAGGACGGGTAATAAGTAAGGGATCATTTACAGCCAGCCAGTCGCAAAATAAATCACCCTGAAGGGTTTATTCTGCGATAAAGATCTGTTTTTGTACATTATCTAGCTTATTACATGGCTACTTGGCTGATAAATAAATAAATGGACATGAAATACTGATTCAAGATATTATTTAACTATTTTAATAGTTATTATAACTAACAAAACTAATTAAAATATTTTTTTATAATTGAAAAATAAAGCTGAAATAAAATTAAATAGAAATATTACATGGAAAGTTTAAATAAAAAAAATTGAATGTTCCTTGGCTACTAACTGAAATAATTTGAGGCATTAAAATGATTAACTGGAAATGAATAAAAACTACAAGTGAAATAAATCTAAATAAATAATAATAAATTAAACCTAAATAGTACTATTTTAAAAAAAAAGATTAAAAAATGACAAAAACACATTAAAAAAAAACTACAATTAACATTGAAAACTGAAAATATAAAAATAACAAAACTTAAGATTAAAAAACACAAATAATATTCAATATTTATCAATTATAATTGTGGTGGTGGTCAAAAACCAGCAGGACAGCTGTGGGCAAAATTGGATGATTTATTCTTCCATAAAAAAAATTAAAAAAAGATAATCAAAGCAAATATAACATAAATCCAATCCAACATAGTCCAAACAAACTCAACTCAAGATAAAGAAAAATAACTGAAATTAAACAGGCCTACAAAGAATAAATCCGCCCTGCTAACAAAGCAACAAAACAAAAATACAAACAAAGGAAGAACTGGAATCAGCCCAGGTGAACTACAGACTGGCCATGTAGCACCAACATCCTCTAGATATAAGGTGCAACCAGCATGCACTGCTTCAAGTCAGCCGCCGATCGGTTTGCGTGGCGCCGCATGAAGTCGAACGCACCTATAGTCATGTAGCCTCTACCAAACAAAAGTTAAGGGTAAACAATCAAATAGCACTTTAACAGCTAAACCCCTAATAACAATAATATTCACAACAAACATACACTTTAACATTAACTGACATAATACAACCAGTTACCTCAATCAAAATAAGGAAACTGTTCAAACAAATGAACAAAGAAAACAACTAAATGAAATGAAGTAAAGGATCCCCCTCAGGGTTTGAACAATGATGGTACAGTCCAATATCCTCTGGCACGCACAAGTTAGGGAACTGAAGCCCCGCCTCTCCCTTTGTTTGGTGACACATGGTAGGGATGGGCGATACCTCTTATTTTATTTTCGATCCGATACTGATATTTTCAAGCCCAGTATCGTCGATATCGATACCTCTAAACTAAACTGATCTTTTAAATTATTAAAATAATATAATCAGTAATTATACTCACTTAATATTAGATTTTAAAGCCATGTTTTTTAACATTTCATAGGCCTTTTTTTGTTTACACTGTCAGAAATAAAATATACTATAATTGTATGTTAGCGCTTTACTGGGGCAGTAATACTAGCCAATTTAAAATAAATATTACATGTACACAAAAGTTTGGAGTCAGTAAGATTTAGTAATATGTTTTAAGTCTCATGCTCACCAAGGCTGCACTTCATTGAAAAAAAACAACAACAAAAAAACAGTAAAAGCCGCAATATGGTGAAATATAACAATTAAAAATAATAATATTTTATAACAATTAAAAATAATAATATTTTCTATTTTAATATATTTTAAAATGTAATTTAAAATGCATCTGTGATCAAAGCTGAATTTTCAGCATCATTACTCCAGTCTTCAGTGTCACATGATCCTTCAGAAATCATTCTAAAATCATTTGCTGCTCAAGAAACTTTTATTATTATTGTTGCTTCATATTTGTGTGGAAACCATGATGCATTTTTCAGAATTTATTTTATATATAGTAATAATGTTATGTAGGCTAATGTAATGTAATAATGTGGCAATGGTTTCTTAAGATCTACGTATGCTTCTGATGCTTTTGGGAAACGCAGCACTATTCAAACAAGCACTGTGAGCCATGCTTCAGCAGCGAACGCTGTCTGTGATTGATTGGTTTAGTCTTTCAGCATTTGCGTGTGTTCCGATGAGCAGGAGAAATGGTTTTATCCTACACAATTATTCACTAATATAGTCTATTTTTCCACATAGAAGCATATTTTATGCACCGAATTTCTTGATAAAGAAATACAATTAATGGTTAAAAAAATGCACTTTAGAATCAATATTTTTATGTGAGGATCGATCCTTTCGATACAACATCAGTATCGATACTTAAGGATCGATCAGCCCATCCCTAACACATGGAATGCGTGGACCAGAGACTCTAGGACTCAGGTAAAGTACAGACAGAGAAACAGAAGAAGTGTGCACCCTTCTATGTTCAATAAACTGTTAAATAGTCTTTGCCTTGTGTGTGGTTTTTTTATAATGAATAAGGGGATTTAAAATAACAAATGACTAAATCAATTAACAGTAAAGTAAATGTAAATAAATATAGCAAAAATAACCAAATAAAACAGTGGTAGAGGCTAAACATGTGAAGTGGGCTACGCACCTGTCACAATAATTCAATTAAAAATGATAATAATATAATACTTAACACTGCCACAGAGCGATACAAGAGAAACTAGCAGAAATCTGTTTTACATGATATTTAGAGTTCAACAGGCATTATACAATATAAATAACATTTATATTAAGAAAGTTTCACAGCATAATACTATGATTGACCAGCACTGTGTAAAAAATAAAACTATTAAAAGTAAAAAAAAAAAAAAAATCTCTAAGATAAAGATCACTTTACTATTCTGAGGAAACAGTATCTCTTGCTGAGATCAAAACATAAACCTAATGCACTATTTGCAGTGACAAAAAAACGAAACTGCAGCAAGGGAAAGAACCGAAATCAGACAAAACGAGAAATCGGTGTCTGCCGTAAAGACAAACCAGCGTGAATGTGGAAGTGAAATGAAGCAGGGGATTATTTGAGTGCCTGTACCTTGGGCACAAAGAGCACCACGAGGGTGATGTAGACAGAGAAGATGATGGCCAGAGAGGCGAATGCAAATGAAGCATCCTGCTGAGAGGAGAGGATCATGGTCACCGGAGCAGTAATCATGCACAGCACCTGGAGACAGAATTTTAAAAAAAACAGAGAATAACGTTAATAATGTGAATCTATAACTGTGAAGATATAACTAAAAATACAAAGATATTACGCGAAGATATAACTTAAACCAGATTGTTAGGACTCACTTAAGAAATAAAATAAAATAAAATTAAATTAAATTAAATTAAATTAAATTAAATTAAATTAAAGTTAGAAATGTTGCTTAGCATCTCACTGAATTAAGTTAAGAAATAAATAATAAATGAATTAATAAAAATAAATTAAACCTAAATAGTAATATTAACAAAAGACAAAAAAGCACATAAAATTACTAAAGAGAGAACAACGTTATTAATGTGAAGATTTAACTGCTTTAGTTTTTCTAATAAGATCTTTAGAACTCACTGTCATTTTACAGGTGATTAAAATAAAAATTAAAAAAATAAATAAAATCAATTTAAACCACTTACAAATGTGGTCTTGATCGGGTTTGTAAAAATCAGATTTCATGTGTTTGTTTTGCTATTCAGACAAAAGAAAAATCTAAATGGACTTGAGTCAGATTGTATTTTACAGATTTGTAAATACATATATATTTGTAAATACATATACTGTATATTGCTGTCTAAACAAGGCCTTTGTGTACCAAACTATCATCACCACTAGAGGGCATAAATTAACTGTAAGAGAAAATTCACTTGCAGAGCAGAAACGGTGTGAATGAGAACTGAGAAAGTGATGAGATAAAGATACTGTAGTGGGGAAAAAAGGAAGGTGCATGAGAGAAATGAAAGAGAGAGAGAGCAAGAACTGTTGATGAAAAAGAGAGGTCATTTTGTCGAAACACTCGCAGGAGGCGGCAGAGAGATGAAGATCTTATACGATGAGTGGAGATGTCATATCTGGCGAACAGCGTGGAAAAATAACTCTTATTTACCTTCAACGGCCAAGAATGACTCTACAGACAGATAACTGCGAGCAATGAACTGACTGCCATGACTGTCCGGACAACGTCCAGAGCACCACAAGTCTATTTCCTCTCTGACCTCAACAGCACTGGAGTGAAATGAGCTACTCTGTGCTATTCTACCAATCACAAAAACATCGGCTGATGGGAAGTAAACTGCTTGTTACGTTTGAGAGCTCAACAAAAATAGACTTTTTCTGCTGTACGTAGATCAGATTTGTACTTTCCCTGGCGACATTTTTACCGACTCATTTCTGAATCTTGCATCACTGTAAAACAGACAGCAAATCCTTTGTTTTTGATCAACCCAACAACCTTCGAGTAGCATCAAAGCAGGCATGTTATTCCTGACACATGGCAGACACATGGTGCCGTTCTGAGACTTAATCTGATTTTATGTAAAATAGCTGTAGGACTGACGTAAAGCGTTTGCGTTCCCAGTGAAGTGTTACTTGTTTCCTCATTAGGATGTTTTAGTCTGAGTTTGAGCAAAAGGGTGCAATTATGCAAATCAGCCTGCGAAGCACTTGGAGTTATTGCCGGAATCAAACTGTTTGCAAGCAGTTGAGCAATTCAGAGCGAAGCACAAAACGCCAGTAATCAACACCTCATTCAAAAACTGTGCTAAAAAAAAGCCCAAACACAAGGCGAACATGTTGTTTTTGGCAAAAAAAATAAATACACTTAAAATTAGCATTACATCAATAGCTATTATTTTGTTTTCACAGTGAGACTTTATTATAGGTTATAGATCATTTTAATACACTAATTTAATTGAAATTATATTTAAATTATATACAAATAAATTGTATAAATATTTTATTTTGTATATATATATATATATATATATACACATACAC